CAGAGGAGCTGACACTGCCGGGGTGTCTCATGGTGCCCGGGGGATGTGGGGAAGGGGTGATCTGCTGATCATCTGTATGGCTCTTCAACCGGTCAGGGCATCGTCCCCCTTGGGCTCGGGCCCCTCTGAGCCCTCCCGGCTGCCCAGCGGGTGCTTTTAGGAGCCATGTGCGGATCCAGACCCTGTGCATGGATCCAGACCCTGCCAGGACCACGAAGAGGCCCTGCAAGCCCCGTGGCCAGCTCTGCTCCTCTCCATCCACCACACCACTTTGACTCGTGGTCAAGTCCATGAAATTCTGGTTTTTGTTCAGTTTTGTGTTTGGTGTTGGTGTGGGGTTTTTGTTTGGTTTTTTTTTTTTTTTTTTGGTAAAAAATAGTTTCTCCCTCCCCACTCCAAGGTCAGCCCCACCAGTGCATCAGCCTTCAGCAGTCCAGGGGGGCTGCTTGCACCTCCACAGCCAGGAGCTGCCCCCCGCGCTGCCCCCGATCCCAGGGCTGGGTGAGGGGGGGATAAACCACACGCACGGCCGTGGCACCCCGGAGCAGCTCCCCGGCCCTCCTGGGCTCTGCTCCGATGCCGTAGCGAGCTACGAGGCTGGCGGCAAGGAGGAGGCAGAGGACCAGCACTGTCAGGAGGCTCTGCCTGCCCTCCAGGAGCCAGTAGCGGTGGGCAGCCTCTTTAGTCCTGGCATTCACACAAGCCACCTTGGCCTGCAAGTCTACAAAGGCCACGTGGAGGCAAGCCCAGTACTCCGTGTCCTGATGGAGCCGAGTGATGTTGTACGTGTGGGTCCCCATGGGGATCCGGGCCACATTGGTCATGTCCAAATTGGAGCTAAGCAAGAAGCTGGACCAGGTGAGGTTAGAGGAGACTGTGTTGAGATGCGGCTTCCAGGCAACCAGGATGTGGTAAGCCTGGACATCTGCCACCACCAGCTCCAGGCTGTCCTCGCTGAGCGGGAAGGAGTGGTTGACCATCACACTGACGCTCTTGGTGTCTGCCCCAAGGAGGTTGTGAGCCACGCAGGTGTACAGCCCGGCCTCCTGAGCAGAGATCCCATGAATCTCCAGCGTCCCTTCAGGGTGCACCTTGTACCGCTCATCTTCTGCGTAGGGGATCAGCTTCACCCCTGAAGGGGTGACCCAGTAGATCTCTGGATCCGGCTCTGCCAGAGCTCGGCAATGCAAGGAGACATTGTCACCATCCGCCATCTCTAAGTGGGAAGGGAAGCTCTTGGTGGAGATGAGAGGCAGGCACCGGTCCGTCATCTCCCGGAAGGGGACATCCCGAATGTGCCTCCTCTTGAGGTCGGGAGGCTCTGCGCACAGCGTGGACTGGGGTTCAATGAAGCGGATGTGGTTTTCTGTGCTGTTGACCCAGCGGATGATGCAGTCGCAGCGGATGGGATTGCTGTGGATGCTGATCTCCTGCAGGTTGGGCAGGGACTTGACCGTCTGCTTATGCAAGGCACTTAGGGCATTGTTGTTGAGCATGAGAGTTTCCAGTTGGGGAAGGTGGTGGAAGGCGTTGGGGTGGATAAAGGACAGCTTGGGGTTGTTGGTCACATCTAGCTTGGTCAGCTCGGGGAGGTTGATCAAGGCAAACTGGTCTATGGACACCAGCTCCTCCATGTTGTTGAGCCCCAGCTCTTTGAGGTGCAGCATGTTTGTGAAGTCGCTTTGCCTGACCCTCTGCAACGGGTTTTTGTTCAGATCCAGAAACTTGAGGCCAGGAACTTGCTGCAGTGCCCGCTTGGGGACATTCATGAGCTTGTTGTCATAGAAAGAGAGGCTCTCCAGGCTCTGCAGCCCTTCCAGTGCATAGTCTGAGATCTCCCTCAAGTTCATCCCAGCCAAAACCAAGCTCCGCAGGTTCAAGAGGGGCCTGAAATTCATATCCAAGATAGCATCCACCCTGTTTCCTCCGATCATGAGGATCTCCAGGCTGGGGAGCATCTGGAACCAGCGGCTGTCGACCATCCTCAGCAGATTGGAGTTGAGGTGGAGGCGCAGCAGGCTGCTGAGGCCGGAGAAGGCGCGGGGAGCAATTCTGCGGAGCTGGTTGTGGTTCAGGTAGAGCTCCTGCAGGTTGCCCAGCCCAGGGAAGCTACCATCGGGCAGCTCAGAAAGCTGGTTCTCCTCCAGGTGCAGGCTGAGCAGTTGGGGCATGCTCTTCAGGCCAAAGTCCCAGACATCGGAGAAGCTGTTCTGCGACAGGTCCAGCTCCGAGAGGTTTCTGAGATAGTCCAGCTCACTCTGCTCCAGCCTGGCGATATTGTTGCTTTGCAAGAGCAGGGTCTGGGTCCCCTCTGGCAGGTCTTCTGGCACGGTGGAGATGAACAAGTCATTGCAGTCCACCGTGGCAGCCTCCCTGTACACCGAGCGGGGCGTGTACCACGGCCTGATCTGGCAGACGCACTGCAGCGGGCATTTGACCTTCCAGGGCACGATGGGGATGGCGGTGGCAGCCACCACGCAGAGCAGAAGCGAGCTGGTTTGGAAGCATCTCATTTTCAGCTGGTAGGACCGGCTTCCTCCCAGGCAGGAAAGGCTCACAGGGCGCATCCGGAGCAGGGCATGGGGCAACGGCCAGGTGGGGACAGCATCCACGGGAGAAGATGCTCCATGCAAGCCCCCGGCACCAATCAGCCCCTGCTGCCAGCTGCCCTACCTGGCGCACCCCACCAAGAGCACATAACACCCACAACCAGGGCTGGTGCCTTCAGTCAGAGCTTCGCCTTTTCTTCCTCCCCAAATAATTCATTTTTGCGCTCAGCTGCATCTTTTGGGTTCCTCCTCAAGGTCATTCCTGAAAAAGGCCAGACAATGCGCTGTGTTAGAGGAGAGCTCATGCACATGGCAAACAAGCATATCAGAGTTTAATCTGTTTTATATCTACAGTATTAACAGGTCCCTCCCAGCCCAAGAGGGTTTTGAGTGCCCACAGATGCTCTTGCCCAGGGCCACCAGCAGCCCATGGACCTCGGGCCAGCCTGGCTCAAAGGCTTTCCCATGAGCAGAGCTGGAGCCGCAGATGCTGGGAAGAGAGAGTCTCCATGGGGAGTAGCTTTCCTCCAGGCTCTCAGGACTCTGCTTTCTGCCCATTATCCTCCCCAACACCAAGTGCCCCCATCCAGCAAAGTAATAAGCACATCTACCTCCACACAAACTTGGGTCTCAAGGCTTAAAGTAGCCAATACTGGGGGATATTGGCCCAGGGGGGCTGATGCTGAGCAGAAAAAAACCAAGCTTTTAGGGCAAGAGCAAGACATGAGCAAGCACAACCCTCCCCTCCACAGCAAAGCCCCCCAGCTCCTTTTAAAGCACTGGCCCAAGGTGGGGGTAATTTCCTGGGAGCAGCAAAGCCTGACTGGGCACATTAGGGGAATGCAGAAGCTCGTTAACCCCCTCCCTGCTGGGTGCGACCCTGGCCTCAGCCCTTTGCCTTGCACCCTTTCTGGGGAAGAGGGGGTGGGGGTTCCTTAGTGGGGCATTTGGCGAGGGGCTGGGGTGGGTGCGAGCCCCCCGGCACCTCCCTGCCCCTCTCCCTGTCTGGCTGCGGAGTTCGGAGAAGCCAGAGCCAGCCACCAACCCACCTTAACTTTCTGACTTGCTACAGCTCTCCTGACCCACATTGGCACAAATCAAACCAAGCCCCAAAGCTTCTCCCCATCTTCAGACACTCACGCAGCAGGAAAAACAGTAAAAAGCAGCTGGAGTGGGAAAAGAAAGTTTCTCTCCAAGCAGCTCTATTTTATCACCCCCATGTTCTCCCTGTAAAGGGCTTCCAACCAAAGTTTATTCAGCATTGACTCATCCAAGCCTTGCTCCAGAATTGATCCTACGCACTTCCCTTCTTGCCTGCTGCGAGGGCATTGGCTTTTAAACCATCTCCCGGAGAAACAGCATTAAAGAAGAGGAAGGCTGTATTGATTTCTGCATCCTTCTGATGGACCCTCATCTTTCTTTTTAGGTGCACAGGCATTTCTGTGACGATAAATCTCTCTGGCCATTAAAATATTATAGAATCTTTTCTCCTCAAAAAAATAATACAGAGGAATGTGGTTTTTTATTTTCTTAAGGCTGTGAAGAAGAGCCCAGAAAAATCACCTTGTTTCAAACTCTGTTTTACAGGGAAGACTCCCCAGCTCTGCTGCGGGGTGTTAACTCTACAGGGTTCGTGTCTTTTGCCCAGCACGGGACGGGATTGCAGCACTGCCGGGAGTGGAAAGTCTTGCATACAAGATGGAGCTGTAACAGTCCAGGTGTTTGTGTAAGTAATAAGATCAGAGCCTGCAGAAAAACATCATTTTTTTGGGAAACGCTGAGTACTAAACTTCGTACTTCATGGTTTCAAATGGCATGGAGCAAACCGAACAGGGAGGGCATGGGCAGCCTGTGGTCCCTGGTGCTGGCAGGGGACAGAGCTGACCCCTCTCTGCCCTGACAGCCCTGCTCCCTGGTGACAGGAGTGACACCTCGGGGACCTGCACCACGAATTCCTGCAGTCCAGCCATGGGGTGGTGGGGAGATGGGGAAGGAGAAGGCAGGAGCCCGCTGGTTGTCTTTCATCCATTACCCAGTGAAGTCAGGCTCATTATTTCTTGATTAGGCACTAAAGCAGCCTGCAGGTTGCGTGCAAACTCATTTAGCCTTTTATTGCGCTGCACCGAAGATGGATGGTGGGACGGCCCAGGCAGTCCCGCAGCTCCCACGGCCACGGGTTCACTTTTCTCCTTTCACCATTTGGGTCCGGAAGCCTCCCCCCACGGAGCGGCATCCCCGCCAGCCTGGGGAGTCGGCGTGGGAGCCGGGGCTGGCCAGGGTGAGGGACGGGGGTCCCGGGAGAGACACGGACCTCGAGGGGCTGACACAGGGGAACGGCGGGGTCGATTCCCCAATGTGCAACTTTGCTGTGATTCTTGTGCCCGCGCACACGCACGCACATGTATCCCGAACTCCCACCCGCGACTCCCCAGCAGCACCAAAGCGCCGACCGTGCCCCAAAAGCCCTTGTTTTCCCCCCAAACAGACTCAGGGAGCAGAAGAAGACAGAAAAGCAGAGGGACCTGGGATTTGAGGCTAAGAAATAGAGAGATCAGGCTCGAGACGTGGCTGAGGTTGCGAGGCTAAGTGGTATCTCCCTGGGAGCCCAGATTTCATCTCCTCTCCGAGACAGACTGATTTGCTGCCTTTGCAGCAGTGGGAAAACACTGCCCCAGATAACGGGAGCCTTGGTAAAACCAGAGAGAGGAAGGGGGACAGCAAGGAGGAGCAGGGACGTGGGTTGCTGGAGGGTCTGCTGGGGACCAGGACCCCCTCTGCAGCCAGGCTGGGCTCCAGCAGCACCACAGGTCCCATGTTCCCCTCCGGCGCCGGCAGCCCCCGGCTGCTATTTCGGGCCCCTTCCTCGGCGTGGGCTGCGGCGCGGTGAGAGTGACAGCAGGGAGCCGGGTGATGTTTCTGCTTGGAGTTAATTTTCTTGCAAATATGTAGAGCCAGGGGGGCTGAAACATTTGCTGCAGTGCCCTGAACACCGGGAAATGGAAAATACCCCCAGTTTCCTTCTTTCCCCCCGAGCAGGAGGACCCAAGCCTTGTCCCCACACCGGGGATGCCGCTTGCCTCTTCCATAGTTTCCCAGCATTTACCCAGTTCCTTCATCTCCCTACGGCATTTCTGTGACTCCTACCTCCAAGGCTGGATTTCTTCCAAGCACGAATGTCCATCTCCCCTTCTGCACAGCATTCTGCGAGCGTGATTGCAAAGAAGCTGGAGCCCCAGTATGCCTTTGGTAAGGATCTTATCTGGAGGTGGTCCTCAAGGACACAGGACACGAAGGCTGGGTGGGGGTCTGTGGCACTGCCCCACATGGTACCAGCCTGAATTTGCCACAAGCCCACGACATCGTCTGCGGTGTCACTTGCTGATGGGGGGCTCAAGGGATCTCTTTCCAACCCAGCCAGGCATGCTCAGGGATGGAGAGGGGGATACAGCGGAGAAATATGAAAGGAGAAGGAGTAAGGGGGAATGAAAGCGCCACAAACAGATAAAAAAGGACTAGAGGTGAAAAGGAGAAGGGACAAAGAGACCATCAGAGAGTGAGGCCGGAAGAGGGAGACGAGACAGGGAGCGCGGTGCCGGGGGAGAGGGGAGCACGGCTCCATGAACAGGCAGCAGAAGCCCAGGGAAAAAAAAAGAAAAAATAGAAAAGCAATGAGAATGAGAATTGATGAGGCACAGAGAAGGGAAGAGTCTTTTCATCAGCAAGTTTGCTGGATGAAGCCAGGAGATAAATCACCCAGTGGAAGGAGCCTTGGTCTCAGTGCCTGCCCCGGCTGCCTCTCTCCCTCTGTCATCTGTCTAATAGCCCGGCTTCGGGAGATAAATGGCTGCAGCTGAGCCCCGGGCTCTCCTGCCCTTCCCTCTCCCTTACCGCAGCCAGGAGAGCCCCGCGCTGCCCCCCGCGTGCTGCCGGGCGGAGGCGATGGACAGCCCCCGCACCCACAGGGGATGGGGA